GAGCCTTCCTCGCCTCTACCGGCAGAAAACCTTCAAGAAGTTGAATCCCTGAGCTGGTTCTACATCATCATCATGGCCACCGTAGCTAACTGTTATTGATCACTTAATGTGCCAGCTCTGTACTAAGTACATCACATGCATTATCTCCATCGATCCTCAACAATCCTCTGAGGTCGACAGGATTGTTATCTCCACTTTACAGATGAGGAAATGGAGGCTTAGCAAGATTAAATAGGTCCCCCAAGGTCACACAGAAGAGGAGTTGGGAAGCTCTGGGAAGTCCCTCCAACTTCATGAGGCTCCTTTCCCTGAAATGAGATGACTGCAGGATACATTCTCTAGAAGCTGCCTTAGGGACTTCTGGGGTCCCTTCAGATTCTTATGGCCCATCCTGTAGCTCCATCACAGTCCTGGAAAGCCAACCTTGTAGAGGCAGCAAGGCATGCTTAGTTAAGGATGTGGACTCTGGAGCTGAATTGCTTGGTTCAAGTACCTCAGTCACTGAAGTAACCTTGGGCAAGTTATTGTACCACTGTATCAATTTCTCATCTGTAAAATGGGAGTGATATTAATGGCAACCACTTCATTCTTTGTGTGAGGATTAAATATGTTAATATTTGCCAAGGGCTTAGAATAGCATCTGGTACAGAGTAAGCACTACGTAAGTTTGTCAAATAAATGCCAATTTCCCTTCCTCTTGCTCTCTGGTGAGGTGCTGGCTTGTGGAGAAAGGTCTGAGAGGATTGGTGGATGGAGGGGTGGAGAATTACCCTCGTGAGGAAGATAAAGTCTAAGAATCGGAGGAACCTAAAAGAATCAACTTGAGGGGGGTGGTGAGGAAGATTTCTTTCCCCATTGGGCAGTTCCAGGAAGAGCCCTCCAAAAAATCAAAGCCTGTGGAGGCTCTAGGAGAAGGGATGACAGAGAGAGGTTTATAACCCCACCCAAAGCACTGTGATCAGTTCCTCAAATAGGAGGCCACAGCCTGGTGGCTGGCCAGAACCAGGTCCTCTAATTCCTGAGAAAAGGGTGGAAACATATATTAACACTTATCTGAAGTATTTGACACTTATTTTTAAAGGACCAGAGGAGCAGCTCTTGGGGCTGGAAGAAACTGCCCATCAATCATCCTGCACCCCAAATGAGGGTCTAGGGAACCTCCACTGTAGATCCAGGCCGGGCTTTCTTTCTCACTCGGTGACTTTTTTTTTTTTTTTTTTTTTAATGTGCCAGGAATTCCTCTCCCACGTGGGGTGGACTCCGAGGTACTCAATTAAGCAGCCAATGAAAAGTCAGCTCTCCGGTAGCAAATGACCCTGACACTTCTTGTAACATAAACAGTTGAAACGTTTCCAATTAGAACTGGAGACAGAGACGTTTGAACTCTTTCTCTCCACTCCCCCCTTTCTTTAAAATAATTGTCAAGCACTTTGGACAGGGTGTTGTATACATGTTTTTTATTTTCTTTTCTCTTTCTCAAGCAAAAAAGAAGTATATTTTTCTCCTTGTTTTTCCTAATTTGTGGGGTGGCATGAGAGTGGGGGGCAGAGCAGTGGCGAGCTTAAAGGGGTGTTGGCCTGGTTAATTAGCTCTCTGCCCCCTTCCTGCTCTGGGTTCAGGCTATGGGGCAGAGTAAGGAGCTATGCTAGTGCAGAGCAAGCGAGATCCACAGGCGGGAGCGCTGCCCCCACCCTCAGACCCTCAGAAAGGGCTGGGAATGAATGAAGGAAGAAGGACATAAGGAAGGAGGAATGAATTTCCTCTGCAAATGCTCGCACAAGAGCCAGCTGCCCTGGATTCTAATTCTGACCCTCTGCCCAGTCTAGAACAAATTACTAAGATTTCTCGCCTCTGTTTTCTACTCTGTAAAGTGGGTCACCAGCCAGGCCTCTTAGGAAGTGGGGTGAGGGTGCACACGGTAGTGTCTGGGAAGCAGTGGCTTGCCTTGTAACTATTAAGCGATCAAGAATTATTCTTCCTTACTGCCTGGCACGCTTTGGCAGTCCGGCTCTGCGGTAGAGACGGCGCTCTGCAAAACCTCGTCTATCAGGCCCGGTGACTGACTCCTCTAGTGTGCCATGACCGGCGCCCAGGCTTACAGGTGAACTCGACCTGGGTTTGTCTACCTGGCAGGAGCTTTCTAGCTCGTGGGGTTTCCCGGAGAGCCGCCAGAGAGACACACGGACCTGACACCGAGCTGCTGTGCTTTTCTGTACATAGTCCGCATAGACCCGACCTGGGGGGCCAGTGGCTCCCTTGGCCGCCAGCGGGCAGGCGCCGTCGGAGCCAGTCCGGAGGGAGACCCAGAGAAGGAAACCAGGCGAGGCGCCGCTTCCCGGGCATCTTGAAGGCATTGTGTTTAATAAATCTGGGCAAGACGTACACTCGCTCTCTCCCGCCTCTCTTCTCGGCTCCCAAATCGAGACCTGCTGTAGGACCCTCAGTTTACAGGGTCTTAAAACCCCCTCCACTTTGATTAGCAGCTTCAAAGAGCTCTCTTTAAAGTTGCCCTTCTCCCCGCCCCCACCTCTCCTCCTACTTTACAGGACACCCTTCCCCCATCACTCCTAGACAGAAAGAGGAGGACAACAGCAAAACACTAAATGCAAGTTTAAAGGGGCGGGAGTGGGGGTGGGGTGAGTCGTCAGGCTGCGTTCCGAACGTGGCCTTAGAAATTACCTATTTCAGTCGTGCGCAAGAGTTAGAACACCATGGAGTTTGGGATTTCTTTTTCTTTCTTTCTCTCCCTCTCTTATTATTATTATTTTTGGTTCTTCTTTTTCTTTCTTTTTTTTCGGGTTTGTGTGTGTGTTTTTACCTTTTATTATTTAAATTGATACGTTTCATTACTAGGGAGAAAAATAAAATATTCCTTTGATACACAAAATCAAATTGATATTTAGCCTCTGCTTACTTTTTTATGCATGGCTCCTTTATACCACATGGTAGTGACAGATTGTTTGAGCTGGAAGGAAAAGCCATTCAAAGCTAATTAAGCAGCCATTCCAAGCACTATTTGCAAGCGGGAGGCTCAGAAGCCTCGGCATTTGTCAGCGCTCCCCCACCCCGCGTGGTTTTGACTGACAGCTCTGGTCACGGATTGACAGCTCCTGGAAGCTCCACCAATCAGTAACCTGAAGCTCCTTTCGCTATCTGTGATTGGTTGTTAAGGCTTGCTCGGGGCGTGGTTGGCGTTCCCCACGTGGGAGCCAGAGGAAAAGATGGGCGGGGCGAGGAGGGAGCGGGTGCGCCCACCCGTGACGTAAGGGGGAGGGCAGAGACGGGGGAGGGGAAAAGGAAGCTCCAAAGAGGAGCCATTTTGTGTCTAATGAATGCTGTGGCCAGATGCTCGCATCTGTCGAGCCGGGTTTCTTCTAACCCCCCCTTTTCGGTGCGCGCTGCACACGATTTATGTTTTTATTTAGGAGAATAAATAAATGAAGAGAGAATCGCGGTTCGGGGCAGGCGGCCGAAGCGGGCATGGGGAGACTCAATTCTGAGGCCGGCGCTCACGTGTAACTCCCTGCGCACCGGCCTCCGAGGGCCGGCTTGCTCTCAGCTCCTCATTAAGATGCAAAAGCGAACCTTCGGCTCTTAATGAGGGGAAAATATAGATACGGGGGCGCGCTGCCGGCTCGCGCGCGGCCGCCGCCGCCCCGGGGTGCGTTCTAGCTTGCGGAGAGGCCGGGGGAGAGGCCGGGGGACCTGCCTGGGCCGCCCACCCGGCAGTGCTGTCTCCGAGGGCCGCTAGCCTGAGGCTGGTCTACTCTGACGTAACCCCGAGCACAGGAGACGAGGCTATCAGTTTGCGGACAAACTGACCCAAGAGTCGAGTGGCCTTTGGGACTGCTCAGGGAGTCTGCGAGGAGTCGTGCAGGGGTGCTCCAGGCGTGCGCGGGAGGCGGGGGAGCGGCTGCGCCCCCAGGGGCGTCGAGGCTGGCGCCCCAGACACCACAGGCTCTCACATAGGCTCCTCCACAAGCTGCTGCCAACGCTGTGATAATACGGCCACTAGGCCGAGTCAACCGGGTGGGAACTCGGAGCTCTCGGGTTGCGCCGGGAGAGCCCCGACCCTATTCCCAGCTCCACTCCTTTGGACCTGGAGTGCAGCGGGGACCCCTCCCGGGAAGCCTGCGGCCAGGACGTAGCTGTCCCCACTGGGAAGGAACCCCGAGTGGGGTCAGCCGCGAACAGAGCCTGTTGTCCGCGGGCTGCCGGGCCCTTCCATCTGCGCTACCCGCCAAGCCAGAGTTCCTCAGACTTCTCTCAGGCAGCCGACGCTCATCAGAGGCGCTGTTTATTTGGCTTTCTGAAAAGAAGGGCGAACGAACAAAGAAGGGAAGCTGGGGGCTAATGGGCAGCGGTAGGAAGGGATAAAGATAGGGACAGCCTCAGTTCCGAGCAAAATTTTAAAGATCGAAGGCAACTTTGGGAGCCACCATTTTATCCGTCCTAAATCTTGTGAAGTGAAAACATTAAAGTGACAAAGTGATTCTGTTTGTTTTATAGTATCTAATTGGGCTGCTTTGCAGACCTAATGAGATTAGAGGGAGGAATCGTTCTCCACCACTGCAGAATAAACCGATACATTACTACTAGCCACAGGTTTTGAAGATCGTACAGCTTGTCTTTTTTTTCTTTTGTTGTTATTCTTGTCTTCTCTTTCCCCCTCCTGCTAAATAATTATTTGCTAGTAGATCGTGGGAAAAAAAGAGGAGGGAAAAAACTAGCAGCCCAGGACTATAATATATATCTATTTATTATATGTCTTTTGGTTAATTCCTGATCTGAGGAGCGCTGTTTTTCACTCCCATGCGAAAGTCACCAGCGGGTAGGGCCTGATTGCTACTTTTCATGCATAGTTTTAGACACAAGAGGGCATTGTGACGTCGCGCCCGGCGGCGCCCAGTCGCAGGCCGAGCCCAGCAGCCCCACGTGGGGACTCCGCGCTCCCATTGGCCAGTGCCGGGCGAAGCTGCCACATTATTTTGTTACTTTTCAGTCCCTATTTGGAACTGCTCTCGCGGCAGTTCAGACCTCGTGCGCGTCCCCCTCGCCTGTCTGTGTGTGGTATCCGCAGGTCCGAGGCACTTTTTTTGGTGTGTGTGTGTGTGTGTGTGTGTGTTGAGTGTTTGTGTTCGGGGGTTTCTCGGGGCTCGGAGAGAGCCGGGCCGAGGGGAAGGAAGGAAGCCGCAGAGCTCCCTATCTCAGGCTGCGTCTCTCCTCCAGCGCTCTCCTGCCTGCGCTCTGTGAGGCGGCAGCGGCGGTGGCGCCGAGCGCTCCTCGCTGGGTTCGCACAGCTCAAGTTGGGAGCAGCGAGGACCCCTTTGCTGAGGTTTCCCGTGCTCGCTGGAATAAGATGCCAGGGCGATTGATTTGCACCTACTGAACCCGGAGTTCCTCCCCGGCCCTGGGAAGGGTTGGCGGCGGCGGCGGCGGCAGTAGCAGACGGAACAGCAGGCTCTCCTCTCCGAGGGGGGGCGTCGAAGCGCCCGCGCCGGGCTCCAGCCCTCACCCTCCCGCGCTCCTGCGGCCCCGAGCAGCCACCTTCAGTGCCTGCCTTCTTCCTCTTCTCGTCGCGAGTCCCCGACCCGGCTGCCTCTAGGATCAGACCCGCTCACCCCGGATGCTTGGGGTTGCCCCGCGCACCCCGCTCCAGGTTCTACGCGCTGAGTAATCCAAAGGGGACCCGCGCTCGCCCCGGGAGGAGCCCCCGGCCCTGGGACCCAGCTCTGGACCCGCCGGGGAGCCGACGATGTCCACGCAGCCCCAGGCGTTGACACTGTCCACGCAGCCAGGGGAAGGCGGCCGGCTGCAGCCCGCCGAGCCCTAGGAGCACAAAGCCCGCTCCCGCCGCCCGGCCTCGGCGCCCGCCGACGACTTTGCCGCCCGCTCCGCAGCTCTTTGTCTCCACTTGGGGCGGGCGCCCGACTCTGGGATTTCGCTGTGATAGCGGGCTGGGGGGGCCGGGGGCGAGTTCTCGGTTCCCCGGCCGCCCCCCGCTCGGGCTCGGCTCCCCCCTCCCCCGCACCTCTCCGGCCCGGGCTCTCGGCGCTTCCACGCTCTCGGAATCACGACCCCTCCCTGCCATGTATCCGCAAGGCAGACATCCGGTGAGTAATTGCAACTCGGTTTATTTAAGCATCTATCATGGCAGGGTAAACGAGGCAGTTTATCTGGCACCTCCATTTTGCATGTTGCTACCTATGATGTGTTTGTGTGTGTGTGTGTGTGTGTGTGTGTGTGTGTTCTCACACAAAGGGGCTGAGGTGGGGGTACGCTGTTGAGAGAAGGGTAATTCCGCCGGAGTGGAGTGGGGGCCGTGGACCTTCGAGGGGGAGCTGTTAACGCTGCCCCCGCCCCCTCTCCTAAGTCTCCCAACTCGCCCGGCGTGTCTCCCCGCCCCCGCCTACTTGGGAATGGGGGCCTTTAGTAGAAAGGATGGGAGCCCGCGACGGATAGGGAACGATCGGGGCACCCCCCGCCCCTGCCCCGTCGGGGAGCTGAGAAACTTGCTGGGAAGGTTCTGGGCGGTGAGGGTGGCCTCTCCCGTGGATCTCGGCGGGGAGGGGCCGGGACGCCGCGGAGGGCCAGGCGGCTTGAAGCCCCTCTGAAACCCGCGTCCCTCCCCTGTCTTGTCCTTGCGGGCTCCAGGCTCCCCATCAGCCCGGGCAGCCGGGATTTAAATTCACGGTGGCTGAGTCTTGTGACAGGATCAAAGACGAATTCCAGTTCCTGCAAGCTCAATATCACAGGTAAGGCTGGTGGGGGCGGCCCCGGGGCTGGCGGGGAGGGGGCGGCTCCTGCCACCCCCAGCGGGGACCGAAGGGCTGCCGACCCCGGGGCGACAGGGCCTCCGCCTTTTGTTTCCCCTTTCCCAGCGCGCCGCCTTAACCCTTCGCTGCCCGCAGCTGCCCGGCTCTGGGTGCCGCCCCCGCATGAGGGTCGGGGTCACTTGCCGCTTTGCTCGGCTTTCTGGGGTCGCAAGCCTGCGTCAGGGGCCGCACCCCCGCGGCCAGGATAAGTCCGCTCGCCCGGCCGTGGGAAGTTTCGAGTAGTTTCGGTCCCGGTTCCCGGTGGCAGGGACCCAGCCCCCGCTCCGCCCCGAGGCTGGCGGGGTAATGGGGTAACCCCTGGGTATCAGGGAAGTGGAGAAGTGGCTCTCGGAGGCCCTTGGGTTGGGTCCGGGAGGAGGTCGTGCAGGTGCCAGGCCTGAGCGGTTCCTCCTGCCCTCGCAGCCTCAAAGTGGAGTACGACAAGCTGGCGAACGAGAAGACGGAGATGCAGCGCCATTATGTGATGGTGAGAGGCGGCCCGGGGAGGGGAGCAGAGGGCAGGGCGCAGACCCTGTCGGGTCGAAGCTGGGATCTGCGGAGGCAGGAACCTAGTCCCCACCGGGGCCCTGCCGCAGGGTAGCCGGGAGAGTCGTGTAATCTGAATGTGCCCTCCACCCCTTCACCAGCTTCCCTTAGCCAGGCCACTTGGAGGAGGGTAGTGAAAGGAGAGGCAGAGAGAGAAACCCAGATTCCAGACTGGAGACCTCTGCACTACCTTTGTGTGCCTTTGATTTGTGTTTTAAAGGTTTCTCAGAGGGCCGGTGGCCCTGTCTTGGCTAGTGAGGTAGGATTGGATCATTCCGCGTCAGGATTGGGTAAAAATCCCTCTTGGAGACCTCCTGGGGATGTTTGGAAACTTTTCTACTTTGCAGCCTTGGGATCCAGCCAGAGTGGGACAGAAGCACCCTCCCTCCTCAGGGTTTTCTGAGAAGTGGAAGAGCCTTTTAAATCTCTCTGCCTTCACGTCCCTCCTCAGTAAAGAGTCTTGTCTTCTGTGGGACCATAGATAGACATCTCCCCCTTTACCCAGTGTCTGTTCCAGCAAGTTTACATCTTCTGTTTGTCAGAGGGTATGGGAGGCACTAAAGCATGCTCCCTGTGCCTCTTTCCACATAAGAGGCCTTCTACACAGTGCTAAATAACTCTCAGAGGACAAGGGGGGCCCAGTGTACACACCATTCCCTGTTGAGCCCGCACCTTGTATAAACAGGATATATGGCACATGTGGTGCTTGTGGGAGGGAGGGCCTGGCTTTTCTTACTACTGTGTATGTAATGTTCTGTTGAGATGAGAAGAACACTCGCCCACTCGCCTGATGCCACCGCTTAAACCTCAGCATGGGCTGGCTTTGGTGTTTGTTTTAAACTTCCATAACTCATGGATCATAAAGTATGGTTTTGCCAAAACCTTCTCAGGAAAAAAAATGATGTTGAAACATGAACAGATTTCTGTGTTGTCTTTTAATGGCAATTCTTTTTACTTTTAGTACTATGAGATGTCCTATGGCTTGAACATTGAAATGCACAAACAGGTAAGTGCTTTTCTCTTTAAGAAATGAATTTGGTTTTTAAAAACATATGTATGGACTTCTGTGACTCCCCTTGTTTGAAAATGAGCTGGTTCTTCTGTTCCTCTCACTTCTCCTAGAGTAAGTGGATCTAGTCCTTGAAATGCAGGTGTTGAGTCTTGGCAGATTTCTTGGACATGTTGAGCTTTTAGCATTGGAGCTTGTGAAATTAGTCCTGGTCTTGGATCTTGGTGGAGTATAAAGGACCAAAGGGAAAGTCATACCTACAGGATTTGCTTTACAGACTCCTGAGAACCTAGAGCTGGCTGACTGCTTTTATCTGTTTTAATGTAAAACCCTCCAGAGGAAATGCAGTAGGTTTTTTTTTTCCTCTTTTTCTGTGTTTTTTTTTTTTTTTTCTTACAAAAAATGTGATGTTCTGCCTTGATAAGATTAAACTTCAAGAGCCTTAAAAGCCAGACTGAGCTGTTGAAATTTAAGGGAATGAAGCCACTAACGGCTTAAAAACATAAAACCAAAATGAAATAGAGCTCTAATGCCTCACATTTAGAAGGCGACTTTTTCATCTGGATCTTAATTTGAAGGCAGCTGTGTTCCCATTTTACAGAGAAGGAAGCTGAAGCTGAGGATGAAGTAACTGGCCCGGGGCAGCCTGGCCAGGCCTTTTGAGATGGTTGGGGGTTGAGCTCAGCTTTGAAATCCTCAAGTCAAACCAGTTTAGCTAGTGTGGTGTCATTTGATGGATATGTAAACTACCCCCTATTGTCACTCTTCTAATAACAGTATACCTCAAACCTGGCAAATACAAACACCCTTTATCTTGGTGCATATCAGTAACTAGTCCCAGTGCTAGGCTGGCCTTGGGAGAGGCCTGTTTGTGTATTTGTGTTCCGAGGAGAGGAGAGGCTGCCTATAATTTGGCTTGGCGGACCGATTAGCGTTGACTTGGCACCAATAAATGGCGCAGGCCCGGTTGTTCTTTTTAACAATTGGTGTTCTTGAAATCTCAGAAGGCTGTTGACTCATTCTAGCCTTTGGTGACCGTGACTTGAATGGATTTTCTGCTCTAAATTAACAGTCGTTTACAAGGTTTAAATTTTGCTCTTTAAAGCAGGCAGTACCTAGAGCAGGTGAGAAGGGTAAGTGACCCTCTCCCTGCTCCAGTGGCTTCCTGTACAGTCTTTTGAATCTGTAGTTTCTTTCCCTGTCCTGGAGGGAGCCCCAGTGTTGGGTGAAGGGCCAGGGGCCCCAGTTTAGAGAGCAGTGTGGGAAGCCAGTTTGTGGCTTTCTGAGGGGTTAGTTCTCTAGGAAGGCACATGAAGGCTACCATCTTTTCACTTCTTGGTCCACAGAAATAATAAACAGATCCTGCTTTATATGTAAATAAGGTTTCCCTTGGGAGACTAGAGAGAGATTCTGCCCCATTGGAGGTGGAACTGACTAGGTCTGACTGGTCCAGAAAAAAATACATATGGCGAAACTGGGGTCTCCCAGGTGTTTCAAGGACCTTGGTGTGTTATGCAGGGTGTCACTTACTCCCTTTCTCCACCTTTCAACACACACACACACACACATTCATTCTCTCTCTCTCTCTCTCTCTCTTTCTCTCTCTGCTTAGTATCTTGGGTATGTTTAAAGAGGTTTAAAGAGGGTAATTGCAACCAGGTTTAAATTTATAGCAGCAGTTATTCTAAGAGCTTCGTAATTAAGGTGTAATATGTCGTTGCATGTTGAGGTCTGCATGGGTGGTGTCCCCATATCTATGAGTGGATGTTTCTTTGGCACAAAGGAACCACCTTGGCTGGCAGAGCAAAGCTGTTCTCCGAGTCCTGGGGACGCTGTGAACCCAGAAGAGTTAAACATCTTAACGCACTTGGTGGTGGGGTTTGTATAAAGAGCAGCTGTGTGCATCTGGGATTTCTGGCCATTCCCCAAACAGGGTTCTTAGGGGGAGAATGCCTGAGGTTTGGCTACATTGTCTCCTTTAATCCTCTCAGCTGCCAGTGGTGGCTAAAGGGATTCTTTGCCCTTTTTATAGGTGGGGAAACCAAGGCGTCAGGGAGGCCAGAGGGCAGAGCTAGGACTCACATCAGAGACTCTGGATTCTCAGCTGGGTGCTTTATCCCACTGGCCTCTCACCTTTGCCTTCTAGCCCATTCCCAGCATGAATGCATGTGCCCTGAATGTGCTGTCTCTGCCGGCTGTGGCAGTCTCTGAGTTGGGTGAAATCACCCTGTGGCGATATAGAAACAAAAGAGGCAAGGAGGTGAGGAAACTCTGGGCTTAGAAATGCAACCCTGACCTAATGGCGCTGGCCACTCCCTAGGTTTGCGAGGGCTCTGCAGAAGAAAACCCTGCCACTAATTGTAGTGTGGGTCTTGGGTGCATTTGGCGGATGGTGGTTAGGCCTGAGCAAACAAGTTTATCAGCTGACCTGTTTAGCGGTTGACTGGTGTTTTATCTGCACACACAATCAAGTGACTGGAGTGCTTGAATTATTCATGCAGTGTCCTGCCCTCTAGACTTGACTGTTCGTGTGATTACATCTGCCTGGAACAAACAGGCTGGATTCTTCATCTTTAAGCTCCAGGGTGGGGGTGGGGACTGTCTGTACTTTTTTATATAATAGATGATCTACGGAGCTCACACCTTGGGGAAGTGTGGTGCTCCACAGTCTGCTTACACACACACACACACACACACACATGCGTACCCTCACACACCTCACTACACCATGTATTTTTTTTTTTTTTAAGCTCTTCTTTGCTGGCTCTATGGGAAATGCCAATTAGCTGGGAACCTCGAGTTCTGCCAGATGGGCCCAAGTATTGACAGAGGGCAGCTGATGAGGTGCGTCCAGCCCATTTTTATTTTACTGTGAGGTTAAACTCACTGTGGCTGGCTCCTTCCCTGGCTGTTTCTCTTTCTCCCTCTCCAAGCTGTCAAATCCCAGAGAAGTAATAAATGGTTTCTCCTCCTACTCTTCTGCTTCCCTCCCTAATTATGGTAAAGCAAAGATTACAGAATCACAGGCCTGGCCTGGGGCTTCAAGAGGTCACCCACCTCCTCCCAACTCCTGCTTCCAGGCAGAATGTCAAGGGTGATTCAGCAAGACTAGGGAGGCGAGGATGACTGACCAGCTCATCAGTTTCCATCTTGTTCCTGCAGAGGCTTTCCAATATCAGCCCCAGATGACAAAGCCAGCTGACAAGCAGGGGCTCCATAGCAATTGTCATGCATTGACTTTGAGGCACTGAGGCTGTGGGTAGCTAGGTCATTCTGGCCTTTTACCCTCTGTTGGTGAGCATGAATGTTTTGAAAGTGAACTTCAGTTATTTCTTATTTGGGGACAGTGTCATTGCCAATACTGTGTGGTCACCTTCTCTGTAAGCCAAATAACCCTGCCTTTAAAGTTTTCTTTTGGAGTCCTGGAACTGAAAGAGCCCTTTAGATTTTCATCCAAACCTTTCAAGTTCCACTAAGGAAACTGAGGCCCAGAGAGAAGAACTGGTGTATCCAGACTCCTACAGCCCCGTGTTCATGGTAAGGCTGCCACTGTAGGCTTCCTTTCTAACCTCAGGTCTCTTTTTGTAAGACTCAAGAAAGGTGGAGTGCTCCTTTACTAGCTCCTAGCACTAGGTGTCTTCAATTAACTGTTGCTTCTCTGCATCATCATTCAGAGAGGCTAAGGCCACAAACCCAGCTCCACCAAAGTTCAGATTACCTCATTTCTGGTTGTATAACTGTGTTAGCTGAGCCCTCTTTGTCTGCAGCCTTGTTCCAAGTTGCCAGCTATTTGCACAACTCCTGATTTGATGTGTACAGTAACAACACAGAGTGCATAATGAGCAATCCCAGAGGGAAGGTTCAGAGGTGCTAAAAACCTATGAACTTTTTAGCTGACAGGAGTGGCCATAAATAGCGGCCATAAATGCAAGGCCAACGTGGTCCATAGAAAATCTCTCTCTGCCTGTCACCCCCTTCCTCTCTGAACCTTCTCAATTAAGTATTATGGTGCTTGGGCTGGAAGATTTCCAGGCAAACCGGCTTGAAGTTCTGTGACTATAGTCAAGGTGCAGTCACTGGGTACAAAGTACAAGAGTGCAAAGAACCTGCCAAGGAGTTGGGTCTACCTTGGTAGTCTACTTTGGGACCACCCTCAGGAATGAAAGGGTGTGTGCTTATACTAGGGTAGTGCCTATTTGTGTGGCATTTGGGTTGAGCTGCAAATTTTTTTAATTTTTATTTTTTTTGCCAGAGTGCTGGCAACCAGGAGCCCCTCCACACCCTGGATTCCATCTGGCCTTTCCTGCCACTTCTCTCTTCCCTGGAATAGATTCCCCTCTCATCACACAGGTTGTGTCATCTTACTAACTGGGTTGCTGCCTGGCTTAGCAGGGTCTGCTGAGCCCAAAGTATCCTTTACTCTGTCCAGGGAGCTACAGGGAGCCCCCACCCTCAGGACTGCCGGCCACCCCACGCTTCCTTTCTCTGGCTAACAATAGAGCAGTACAGAATGGGAGTTTCTGTGCTTCTCTGGGTCTTTTTCTACTTCTGTATTTGACAATGGAAATGAGCCTGGGAGATGGACAAGTGGTTCCTTATCCTTATTGTACCCCTCAAAGAAACTGAGCCTGGGTGGGAACCAGGCTTCTGATTCTACTTGTTCCCCGACCAGGAGCCCTGGATGGCCCTGAGCTTTCCCCTCCACTCTTTGGACTCCTCCCTCCCTGGGTGCCTGAAGGAAGGTTCTCAAAGGAAGGGTCTGGTTTACAGAGGCCCATTCATTTCCATTTTGTTTTGTTGAAGGAGTGAGTCAGTCAAGGAATAAATTTGCTTTTCCTTTCTGCATAGGAGAATGCTTTTCTCTCATTGTTTGTACAGAATTCCGGGGACACCAGGGACCAAAAGGTGATAAAGGCCTACTCCCAGCTGGCCTGTCCCTGTGCTCTGTCACACATGTGTCTTTCTCACATCTCGTTATCTCATTGTCAGAGCTGTGG